CTTCTTGAAAGCCTCCAGTGATGAAGCTCCCACACCCTCCAAAGGCAACTTCTGTTCCATTGGTTGATTGCTCTCCCTGTCAGAAAATTTCTTTTTATTTCTACGTTGAATCTCTCCTTGTTCAGTTTCCATCCATTATTTCCTATCTGGCCTTCCAGTGCCTTGGGAAATAGCTTGACCCCCTCCTCTCTGTGGCAGCCCCTCAAATATTGGAAGACTGCTATCACGTCTCCCCGGACCTTCTCTTCACTAGACTAGCCATGCCCAGTTCCTGCAACCCTTCATCATATGTTTTAGTCTCCAGTCCCCTCATCATTCTGGTTGCTCTTCTCTGCACTGTTTCTAGAGTCTCCACATCTTTTTTATAGTGTGGTGACCGAAACTGAATGCAATATTCTAGATGTAGTCTTACTAGGGCTTTACAGAGTAGTATTAGTACCACATTTTGCCACTCGCAGAAAACTAAGGCAGTTTAGGAGATGAAGACCTTCAACACCAAGCATATTACTCTCTCATTTCAGTATCTCTTGCTCTGATGATAAATTGATGGGGAAAGCAAATTAAATAGGGGCAGATTTCAAACCAAATTCAGGGCAGACAATGAAATCACATTTGAGTTAGAAGATATGCTACTTTAAACTCCTATCTTACTGAATATTAGTGGGGGGTTTTTATTCAAACTTTCTGTCATTCAGGAAAACATTAACCTAGGGGTGTTAAACTCAATTTCATTGAGGGCTGAATCAAGGTTGTATTTGACTTCCTGAGGGGGCATGGCCAGGAGTTGTTGCCAGCTTGACATCCCTTGTGTCGGGGATGCCTGTGGTGCCCCAAGCACTCTGCCAATGAAAACAGGCTCCTGAGCTCCATTTTCGGCTGCAACGGCCTCCTGCAACCCTCTGCCAGTGAAAATGGAGCTCATGAGGGCCGCATGCAGCCCTTCCGAGCTCCATTTTTGCTGGCAGACGCATCACAGGCCAATCCTTGGTTGTTTCCCCGGGGGGGGGGGCACTGGACAGATGTAAGCACCCCATGGGCCACATCTGGCTCCTGGGGCTTGGGTTTGACATCTCTGCATTAACATCTTAATTTTTCCCATTAGAAAATCTGTGAACTGTTTGAATAGTGGTTATTTGAATTTTGGTCTATTCTGCCCAGTTGCACTGGGTTTTTTTTATATTTGGTCCTTTGTTGTTTTAATTTATATTTGGTCCTTTTTTGTTTTAATTTTATGGTGTTTAATGATGTTTTTAACTCATTGTATTGTGCCCTGAATCATTTTGATTAGGAAACCCTATGGATCTTGATCTTGACGTTTACATGCAACATTCAAAAGCAGTTTTGGGATGGTTCTTCTGATCCCTCTGTACGGCAAACCCATTTTACGCAACACAACAAACAACAGATTATCAAGATTTCATCCATTTCAGTTCAGAAGATGACATGTTTTGTTTTTAAAGGTCATATTCACCACAGAAATATAAATGTATAATGAACATACTAAGGAGTTTGTGGCATAAGAAAAATTCCATTTTCCATTTTTTTTAATTTTCCATTTTTTTAAAAAAATTCAAATTACCCAAGAATAATTCCACATGCATCCTTACAATTTCAAAACTAATATAGAGAAATACACATTTCATACTTTTGTCTCCCCTAAATATCTTCAAAACAGCAATTATGGAGAACTTAATTGAATAGCCCTATTATTCCCTTCAGTTCAAGGGTCTCTCAAGAGCTTATTTTCTTAATTTTCCAATAAACCAGCACTACTTCTCAGAAAAAGTAAAATGTTCAAGACAAAATTACACATGATTTGTGAATGCTCCTAGACACCATGTCCCTAAGACCGAGTTTCTGCACTTTAGCAATAGGACATGTGAATTTCAAGTCCCAGTCAGCCAGGAGGAAATATGACTTGGTACTTGGTGGTGTAAATTCTATGTAAGTTTTGAAAATGTCAGTCAAGTGATTTTTTTGTCTTTTTCCTTCTGACTTCTTCCCATGTCCCCACATGTTCCCTACGCATCCTGAGAATGCCAATGTTGTTCATATCGTAATGAAAGCAGTTCGCATATCTTAAACAGAATCAGGCTTGCAGGATGGCAAAGGGGACCATGTGGAGCTGGAAACTGAGTTACTAGGCAACGTGCACAGACCACTGTTAAGCTGGCCAGGCTGCTTTGCTTTGCCTCATTATGCAGCCTAATGATTTGCAATGATGCCCTACAGGGGTTGGTTTCTCTCTCGGTGAAGTTGGAAGTTCCCAAAATGAAAAGCAGAAGCCAAAATCCAATGTTTTCTGTGGCAATAGTCTTGGAAATATAAATATTTTCATTGGAAAAAATATAGTAAAAATGAAAACGTTAAAAAGCTGGCTATTAATTCCAACTTCTTTTCTCCTAAATTCTATCTAGGCAGCAAAGAATATGAGCTTTGGGAGTTCTCTTATTCCTGTGATGGTGAACCTGTGGCACGCAGAGCCCTCTCTGTGGGCATGCTAGCCGTCGCCCCAGCTCAGCTCCACCCACTGGCCAGCTGATTTTTGGGTGTCTGCTGGGCATGTGAGGGTGGGGGGAGCGCAGGGGGTGCCCCCCCATGGTCCATTTTTAGTGCCAGGAGGCTGCAGGGAAACCTACTAAGCCCAAAACAGAGTGTGGGGGATCATGCATGCATGCATGGGGGACAGAGGGAGTGGGGGGTGGCGTGCATCTGCAGGGAGAGGGGCACACGGGTGTGTGTGTGTCATGAGCACATGGCAATATGGGTGCAATGGCACGAGCTTTCGGCACACGACAAAAAGATTAGCCATCCATGTCTTCTTCCATCCTTGACCCCTGGTAGAAAGAAATCACAAAACGACGTGATCTTGCAGGATCTCCTAGATCAGTGTTTCTCAACCTTGAAAGCTTTAAGATGTGTGGATTTCAACTCCCAGAATTCCCCAGCCACTCTGCTCTGGGGAATTCTGGGAGTTGAAGTCCATGAATCATAAAGCTGCCAAGGTTAAGAAACGCCATCCTAGATATTAAATGACCATGTTAGTTGGTTGCACAGCAATGAAAGCCTAGAATGAATGAATAAATGTATGTATGTATGTATGTATGTATGTATGTATGTATGTATGTATGTATAGTGGCTTTTTCACAATTGGAAATGCTGAAGTGGTTAAAAATATTTTAGCAAGCAAGTTATTCAATATTTCCAGTAAACACTGATGATTTAAATAAATTTAAAGTATTCAATTACTTACCTGTCCTTTATTTGGTAGTATGATCAGTTATATTAATTGCTTAAATTCCAAAACTTGGCCATAACTATTATTTACCTATTGTCTTCTATAGACAATTTACAAACACAACATATAATACAAGAATTTAAGGAAATATTTGCAAGAACACAGCATCAGGGATGAAACTATTGCGGCAGCTGATGTCAAGTACAAATAGCCGGGAGTATTCATTGAGTCCAAAGCACAGAAGAGTTTATTATTGGTACTTATAAACTAAAATCTAGTCAACTAGTCACAGCTAAATTAGCGCTAGATGGGGTCAATGGAATTCACAGGGAGCCGGGCCTAGGCCTCTTGTGGCGAGACAATGACTCTAAACTGATGACACATTTAACTCCACCTTCCAGCTCAGCCTGCTCTTCTCCTATAGCTGATATATCATAAAATTATACTAGCATGAGGTAATAATCATATGCTATATGATCAGAGGTGTGTTTCTACCAGTTCGGACTGGTTCGGCTGAACCAGTAGTAACTTGGTGGCCTGGGTCACTGGAACTTGCAGTGACCCAGACCTGCCCAGCTCCTGAACTGGTTCTCCTACAGCCCCACCATCTTGTTTTTAGTTCTGCGCATGCACAGAACAATTTTCACTGCAGAAATGTACTTTTCCCCCCTTTTCTAACATTTTGCGCATGCGCAGACCTTTTTAGTTGCAAATGTGCACGCGCGCAGAGCACACGTTTGGCATGTGTGTGAGCAAAGTGAGCATGCGCAAAAAAACTTGTACGCTGAACTAGCAGTAACCCACCTCTGTCTATGATTTATTGCATATATGACCAAGAAGGTCAAGCCTTTTTTTGACAGGTCATATTTTGGAATGATCAAAGCAGCAACCAATCCCAACCAAATGTTCAACTCTCCAAATGTTCAATGCCATTGGTCTGCATTTGGAATTGCAACGATTCTAATTTTGCAACCATCTTTGCCAAGAAGATTGTATTCAAGAATGAACCATAATTTTTGAAATATTCTGGTTCACGAGAAGATGTCACCACAAGGGACCATACTGTTATGTCCTTTAAGAAAGAGGGGAGCTACATCCTCCCACGAAGAAACATTAATCAGCTCCAGCAGCCTCAAAACTCCAGACTCACATGGTCACCCCATTTCCTGTGCCAGGGGAATATAGTGCAGCACGCAGCTTTGCTTTGTCCTTCTGCCAAAGCTCTCAGAGGGAATTACAGCTGAATGAAAGTGACAATCCGTTGTGTGGGTGTTGAAAAAAGGAAAAGGCAATTTCTATCCAAGGTATCGTTAGGAAGAGGATAGACAGTAAAACAACGTGCTTAAATCAATGATGTGCAATTGCAGTTGGTTTTCTGTGTACAGTTCTGATCACTGTATTCAAAAAGAATGGGAAAGAAATGCAGAAACAAGCAACAGAGAAAAACAAAACAGCTGTCTCCAGAGCACAACAATTGTGTATATTGTTCTGACCTAAGCTTCCCAAGATCATGAAGCCGACTCGATAAAACCTCTTTCATTTAAGTTAAAGGGAATGCCTCTCCAGCAAAGTCCCGGTCAACAATCTTTCATGAGATTTCACAACTACAGACCTTTAGCAGGCTTGGAGAGTTGCCCGGGTGATATCTTCCAAACGCCAAGCTGTAGCAGCAATTACTTGGCAAGAAGTCAGGAACAGATCTTCACCCTAATTAATCAAACTCATTGTCTCCTGCAAACTCCCCTCCCCTTTCGCTCTTCTTTATTCCCTATGGGAGGGGCCATTCACTGTCCTCCTGTGGCTTTACTCCTGAGTCGACCCTTGTTCCTTAGCTGTTCCCTTCTCCTGG